TTAACTTTTTAGAGTCTCAATTGTTGTATTTGTTAAAGTAAGATGGTGGACTAGATTATCAAGGTTTTTTCCTCACTAAACCAGGTAATAAAGTGGATAGAATGCTAGACCTACAGGCAGGAAAACCTGAGTGTTCAAATTCAGCCTTAGATATTAGGTTTTTGAACATAGGTAAACTACTTAACCTGCCTGACTCAGTTTACTCATATGGAAAATGAGAAAAATAATATCACACCTCTCAAGATTGTTGTGATGATAAAATGAGATCATATTTTAAAGTGAATTATAAGCTATAAATCTTAAAGTGTCACATAAATATTGACTATTATTATGATGATCCTTTGACCAAATAAAACTTAGTATAAACACATGCCAGAATCCCAAATGATCAGGAAAGGACTAGAAAGAATAATGAACTACTGTGATTTCCTTGAGGCAGTTAAAAAAAATAAAGTGAAGACCATCAGAGTTTTGGGAGAAGCATCTATCTCAGATAATTTGGGGAAAAAACACAATTTTAAGAATCATTAAGGCTAAGAAAGTATGGTAGGGTTGTGATCGTCACCCATGGAGAGAGTACCTGCAGATATGAAACCATGGACCTACTGGAGTATTAATCTAAGCCAAGCAAGTTCCCTTATTCTGGAGTTCTTAAACTAAGAGTTGTGAAATATGTCAGTAACTACATTTAAATATAATTAGTTTCCTTTGTAATTCTATGTTTTCGGTGCCTTTAAAAATATTATTCTGAGAAAGGATCTATAGAATTCATCAGACCACCCAAGGGATCTATGACACGCCATAAAAAAAAAAAGGTTAAGAACTTTGATCTTAGCAAAGAGAGTTAAAAAAAATAAACAGGCCATTAATTAGGTGAAACAGTGGATAGAACTCAGGGCTTGAAGTTAAGAGGACCTGAGTTCAAATTCTATCTCAAACATTTACCAGCTTATGACCCTGGGTATGTTGCTTATGTTCTATATGTTTTAGTTTCCTTATCTATAAAATGGGCATAAAAATAGCACTTAACTCATAAGGTTATTATGGGAACCAAATCAGTTAACAAATATAAAGTGGTTTGCAGACCTTAAAGTTCTATATAAATGCTAGCTATTATTATTTTAAAAGCTACATATTTTCTCCCAATTTCTGTTCTCCTTTCCTTTCTCCCCACAATCTGTATCTCCAAAAGGTAATTAACCAGCCTCTAGGAACTTCCAGAGTTGATCCTTTAAATTCATCACACCCACCAACCCACTGAAAATGAAAGAGAGCATTGGGATTTGAGAGTGCAGTTTAGCGGTGTGGTTGATATATTATTATATAACCCAATTCCATAAGTACCCCCCATGGCAAACTTCATTCAAAAGAGAACCAAATAGGAAGCTTAGAAGGCTATTATTACAGAGACAAAGTATTTAACTAACTCCAATCTTACAGTCTTCTATCATAAATCATTTTCACACTGGCATATTTCATGGGTGTGGGGAGAGGTAGGACAGATTTTCACTAGCGAGAAAGTGACATGTCCACAATCTATCCTCTTCCCCAACCCCAACTCAATATACTCTATAGATACACATTTACTCTCAGGACACATGTTCTTTTCAAGACAAATCCCAAACACTCAGCTCCATCTCCCAAACAAGTTCCTCATTCTTTCACTGTACAAACTCATGCTCAGAAAACATCATTGTTCTCATTCTCTAATCTCACTTAAATACAGACCTCCAAACATTGATGTTATAGTTACTCACTTCTTATATATTATGGTTCTCACAGCTTCTATATCAGTCTCATAAAATACCAATGGACACACAATTGCTCCAAGGATACTTTTTTTGAAGTTCCTAAACTACCTCACTTGAATTGCAAGTATTTGCTTCTTCTTTACATGCACCCCCAAATTGGAGAAAATTAGAAGAGAATATATTATGATGAGGAAAACTTTTGTCTCTTTTCTAATTTACTGACAATGTTAAGCATGTTACATATTCATTCCAATCATTAATAAATAGAATTTGCATCAAGATGTAAATGATTTCTGAGTTTAGGATGGATGTAACCATTTAGATGTTATATAATCCAATCCTCTGCCTTCAAATTAAACTCTTCCTTATCCTGATGGTTGAAAGCCTGCTCTATTGAGCAAGATGCATTCACTGCTCTGTTTTTTGTTTTGTTTTGTTCAAGAAGCCTAGGACTGTGGATACTCAAGAACAATTCTATAGTTGCTGACATCTCTATTAACTAAGCAAAAAGGTCATTCAAAACATGTAATCAATTTGGTGCCCATAAAAAAAGGAAGGGAGATGTTGGCCTGTTGTACTCTAGAAAGTGCTGTGGGCATTGTGTTACATAAAATTATTGTGAATTTTGAGAAAATTAGAAACATTTAATGGTACTTTCTCTTCACTCTTCCCATCCCCAATTTCACCTCATCTGGGAAAATGATATTAAAAGATATCCTGCCCTATAGATTTGGAAAACTAGGGAAGCTATCTATGGACTGATACCCAGTAAAGTGAGCAGAACCAGAAGAAAAATTTACAGGAAAATGACAATAATGAGAGAAATATAACAGTGAGAGATATTAGAACTCTGATCAATGCCGTAAGTAATCATGACTTCAGTGAACTCTTTTGTGAAGCATGCCTTGCTCACCTCCGCAAAGACAGGGTGAACTATAGGTAAGGCATAAGGTATATTTGTTGTCAGGCATGGTTAACATGTTGACCTGTGTCATGTAACTGTATTTCTTTACAATGGTCATGGGTTCAATCAAGAGATTATGAATTGGGAAGTGACAATAATGAAATTAAAGAACATCAAAAATATATCTATTTATATAAGAAAATTTTGTTCATTATAAAGGTGTTATTCAAACTAGAAATGGGTAGATTTCTTTTACATATTAATTTATAGACCTTTCCAAAGGTTATTATTTCTGTACCTATATTATCTTTTACTCTATAAGTAAACCTTAGAAAATACATTTTAGTACCTATTCTAAAGGGCAGCTAGGTGGTGCAGTGAATAGGGCACTGGGCCTGTAGTCAGGAAAACTTGAACTCAAATCCACCCTCAGACACTTCCTAGATGTGTGGCCCTGGGCAAGTCACTTAATGCTGCTTTCCTCAGTCTCCTGATTTTTAAAATGAGATGGAGAAAAAACAGTCAACCACTCCAGTATCTTTACCAAAAAACCTGTAATGGGATCACAAAGAGTCAGACACAACTGAAACAACTAAACAACAACATAGCCTGGAGGTTGTAGAAAAGGGGTACATGGGAAAGAAGGAAATGAGAGCTGAAAACGAATGAAGGGAAGTGACAAAATGGAGGCCATGGTATGAGAGCTTAGTAGTGGCAGATTTCTGAACCCAACAAACCAAACAGACCTCAAGACTAGAAAGACCCAGGATTCTCAGCATCCCAAGTTGGGGTTGAGTAACCATTGGAAGTCAGTGGTGGGTGAAAACCCTAGGAGCTGAAGCCAAAATCAGTTGGATGGGGTCTAAGAAGAGAACTTAGCCTCTGGGGTAGTATGAATTTGTCAGTGACATTTAAGACCCACAATCATTCCCAAGGTCATTTGTTGAAGGCCTCCTCTAGGCAGAGTCTCTACCCTTTTGGAGCTTCCAAGCTGATGGGGAAGATACCCTGAGGGAAACTTGATTTGGATATGACTTTTAGCACATAAAAATCAACTAAGGGGAGAGAGAATATAACAACAAATTATTTGTCTTAATACTTAGGAACAAGAATGTAAATGGTCACAACTGGTACATGATGTAAAGTGACATGTACATAAATGCTAAATGACAAACCAGATGCCAACAAAGATCTAACACCAGGCAGAGTAGCCTCTTGATTCTATCCCCCTTCATATCACATTTTTTGAATATTAAAATCATTGTCCTTGCAAACAATGTTTAATAATGATTTCTCTTAGCTATGCCTTAAAATCCTATGATACTTACACCAGAAATATAAAACCTAATTCTCTTATCTTGGTAAATTCTAAAATATATGTTAAAAAAAACTATTTTTTAAACAATGCTTGAATACAACTAAGACTTTCCATTCTTTTTATCCTGGTCACATTAGAAGACAATTTCTCTTCCAATTATATAAATGTCACTTGAACAGGAAAGAAATGTAATGCCCACCATCTAACCATCACAACTTTTAACCAAACTAAAGTAGAGATTTGAAAGCATTTATTAAAAAGTCTATTATATCAAAGACTAATTTCCTTTTATTTAGGGGAGTAATCCTGAAAATAAGCCCAAATACTTTTGCTCTCATGGACAATACATTTCAAAGGAACATGAATCTTAAGACTATCTGGGGACCTGCATTAAAAAAAAAAAAACTTTTCTTAGACTCATCCATATTTTAATCAAATCTCACCACCAAAATGACATCACACCTGCCATTTTAATCTGTCATTGTTCCAAACTCACACTGGAGTCTACTTTGTAAGGAATAATTTGCCTACCACCTTGCGGAGCTGGGCTGTTTTCACACTGTATATGATGGGGTTGAGCACAGGTGGAAGCATCAGATAGATGTTGGCCATCATTATATGCACAATCTTGGGAGCCAGTTGACCATAGCGGTGCACCAGGGACAGGCTAATCATGGGGATATAAAAGATGGCAACAGCTCCAATGTGAGATGCACAGGTGCTGAAGGCCTTGTGCTGCTCTTTGGGGGATGCAATACTGAGGACAGAGCGAATGATCAGGATATAGGAGAGCACAATGCATGGTGTGTCAATCCCAGTGCTCAGGATGAGAGCAGCTAATCCACACATACTACTGACTTTAATGTCTGAGCATGACAATCTAATCACATCAGGGTAGTAACAGTAGGAATGAGAAAGACCATTAGGACCACAGAAGGACAGCTTCTTAAATAACAAAACCAAGGGCAACATTAGAACTATCATACGGATGACCATTGCCACACCTAATTGTGTGATCCTGGCATTGGTGAGGATGGTGGTATATCTCAAAGGATCACAAATGGCCACAAAACGATCAAAGGCCATTGCCACCAGGACCCCAGACTCCATGAAAGTGAACCCATGAAGGAAGAACATCTGGAAAACACAGCCATCTACACTAATCTCTCTGGCATCAAACCAAAGGACACTCAGTGTTGTTGACATTGTGGAAATGGTCAAGCCCAAGTCACTAGCTGATAGCATGGAAAGGAAAAAGTACATGGGTTCATGAAGGCTCTGCTTTCTTATTATGACAAACAGGATCATACTATTTCCCAAAAGGGCAATAACATAGAGGCAGAAGAAAGGAATGGAGATCCAGGCATGAATCTCTTCCAGTGCTGGAATGCCTGTCAGATGGAAAGTTGAAAATGGAGATGTCAAATTTCTGGAATTTTCCATCATGGCTTATGGAGTACCACTTAAACTTGTATAGCTCAGACTTTGCAAAAAAAAAAACAACAACAACAAAATTTCGTCTGTTTGTACAAAAGTAGTAGATGGGATTTTGATTTCAGAAAACTTCTCCTAAATGAATATATACTCTCATCTCTAAAAATTGTGCCATCCTTCAACGCCTAGCAGTTGCTCATTAAGTGTTTGCTGAAATAGCAACTAATTGAATGAGTAAATGATAACTTAAAGGAAACATTTTGCACCAGTAGCATGACTGCTGGGGGTGATGTTTGTAGCAGAAATGATTATCTACACTGTGCTTTCCACGTTCTCTTTTTAGAATTCCTATGAAGAAAGAAAAAAAATGTGTCATTGTAATCATCATATCAAAAGAGTAACAGTAACATTTACATAGAGATCTATACATAATGTATAATTTTAATATCATAACAAACATGAGAGCTCCTATGGTTATGGAACCAAGTAAAATGGCCTAGATCGAGAGAGTGAGTGATGATAAAATGAAAAGTCAAAACTGCCAAGCCTCCCCCAAAACATATACAACAATGACATAAAATACACCAAACCAAATTCTGAGCAGGAAAGCCAATTAAAAGTCACAGCAAGTCATTTTTTTCAGCCCAGAAAGAAAGAAAAAGAGGTTTCAGACACTGAGGTTGGAGCTAGTCAGGAGTGCACAGTGTGGCACAAGTGGAACTAGTGGTAATGGCAGCACCTGACTTTGCCAGCAACAGTAGTGGTGGGGAACGACTCAATGCTCAGGGGTGGAGACAATACTGAATGCTGCAGCAGAAAGAGATCCTAGGGAATCCTGTGCTACCACTGTATGAAGGATCACATGCCATTTGGTAGCTCTGATACCAAGCATTCAAACTAAATGCTTATCAAAGCATATTATTTTTTCGCTTTATTTTTTTCATAATTTTTGTGTTTCTACTTTCACATGACTGATATGGAAATGTGTATTACATGATTGTACATATATAACACATCAAATTACTTACCATTTTAGAAAGGGGAAAGGTGAGTGAAGGAGGGAGAAAATTAGGAACCCAAAACTTTAAAAAATGTTAAAAATTGTCTTTGCATGTAATTAGAAAAATATTATTTAAAAAAGGACATATTATTAAGGCAGTTAGAAGGTGCCTACTTAGAGAGCATGGATGTGACTCTATTATGTTGAAATGATCTCAAGGAAGAATGGAAAGGTAAGAAAGAGAGATGCCTAGGGAGAAAGGGGAAGGGAGAGAAAGAATGAAGAAAATCTCACCTAAAGGTGGGGTGCAAAGAAGAGTTTATACAATCAAGGGGAAAAGAAAGAGGAAAGAGGGAAATGCTTAAACTTCGCTCTTGTCTGAACTGGTTCAAGGAAGGAAGAATATGTCTCTGTGTGTGTAATTGGGCACAAAAATTCATCTTACACAACAGAGAAGTAGGAGAGAATGGGGACAAGGAAATAGGGGAAGAGCAAGAGGGAGATTAAAGGAGACAGTGATCAAAAGCAAAACAAAGTCATGAGGAAGGAACAGGGTTAAAAAAAGGAGTTGAATAAGTACAAAATAATAGAATGGGGGGCAATACACATTTAGCCATCATAACTGCAAATGTGAGTGGGATGAAATCACTTGTAAAGGGGCAGCTAGGTGGTGCAGTGGATAAAGCACCAGCCCTGGAGTCAGGAGGACCTGAGTTCAAATCCAGCCTCAGACACATGACACTCACTAGCTGTGTAGCTCTGGGCAAGTCACTTAACCCCAATTGCCCTCATCAAAACCAAATACAAACAAACACAAAAAAAAACACACAAAAAACAAAGAAATCACGTGTAAAATAGAAGAATACAGCATAATGGATTAGAAGCTAGAATCCAACAATATAATGTTTACAAGAGACATATTTGAAACATAAAGATGTACATGAAGTTAAAATAAAGGACCACAGTAGGATATACTATGTTTTAGCTGAAATTAAAAGGACAGAAGTACTACTCATAATCTCAGACAATACAAAAGCCAAAATAGACCCAATTGAAAGAGATAATCAGGGAAATAAATGATACCATAGACATTGAATTAATATCACCACTGAATATATGTGCACCAAAATGGCATAGCATCCCACTTCCCCAATTACATGTAAAAACAATTTTACATTCATTTCAATTTTTTTAAGTTCCAAATTATCTCTTTTTTACTCATCCTTCCCATCCCCCACTTAATTGAGAAAACAAGCAATTTGATATAGGTTAAACATGTGCAGTCATGAAAAACATACTTCCATGTTAGTCATGTTGTAAATGAAAACACAGACAAAAAAAGCTTTTGCGCCTCTTTTACCATTTGGTCTATTCTGTTTTTTAAGCTGTTATTTTCTTTAGCAATTTTTGTGACTTCTTTGCCAAGTTATTGACTCCTTTTTCATGATTTTCTTATGTCACTCTCATTCCTCTTCCCAGCTATTCCTCTTCCTCTTACTTGATTTTTAAAATCCTTTTTGAGCTCTCCCATGGGCTGGGACCAATTCATATTTTTCTTTGAGGCTTTGGATGTTTCAGTTTCAACTTTGTTGTCTTCTGAGTTTATTTTGATCTTTCCTGTCACCATAGTAACTTTCTTTAGTCAGGAATTTTTCTGCTGTTTACTCATTTTTGCAGCTTTTTTTTTTTTACTTTTAACTCTATAGTAAAGTGGGGTTCTACTTTCAGAGTGGAGAGAGCACTGTCCCAAAATTCAGTTTTTGTGTAACTGTTTTGGAGATAATACTAGGGACATGTAAGTTTTCTTTCATACCTCTTCTGAAGTGGTATGATTTAGGGAGAGGTATGTTTGCTACTCTCCTGGTCTCTGCTCTGGCCTGCAAGTGATCACAAGCACTCTTTTCCACTATGGAACTGTAACCAGTGTCCAACTCCCCTGCAGCCACGAGTTCTGGTGTGCTAGTTCTTTTCCTTAATCTGGAATTGACACCCAGGACTGTGACCCAGATCTGAGTATGGGCAATGCTTGCAGTGCCATACAAGCGACTCCTATAATCTCCTTCTGACTAGTTGTCTGATCCCTGTTACCATCTGTGGGCTGAGAGGTCTGGAAACCACCACTGCTGCAAATGATTCAATCACCCCAAAGACTACCACTGGTTGTCTGGGATGTCCTGTACTGGACTGCACTCCACTGTCACCATGGTGCAACCTTTCCTTCTGATCTTCTAAATTGTCTTGGGCTGAAAAATTGTTTCATCCTATCATTTTTATAGATTTTGCCTCTCCAGAATTTGTTTGGGAGCATTATTTAAAGTTATTTGGAAGGGTTTGGGGGAGTGCTTAGGAGAGTCCCTGCTTTTTCTCTGCCATTGTGGCTCCACACCTAGCATCTCAACTCTTGAAGGAAACATTAAATAAGTTGCATGAGGAAATAGGCAGTAAACTTATACTACCAGAGGACCTCAATTTATTGCTCTCAGACATAGATAAATCTAACTATAAAGCGAACAAGAAAGAAGTGGAGATAAATTGTATTTTAGAATACTTAAAAATGACAGACTTCTGGAGGATACTGAATGGAAATAGAAAGGCATATACCTATATCTCAACTATGCATGGTACATTCAGTAAAACTGATCATGTATTAGGACATAAAAATCTCAAACAAATTCAGAATACAAAAATATAAAATGCACCTTTTTGAGATCATAATGTAGTATAAATTGTATTCAATAAAGGGCTTTTGAAACATAGAATAAAAAATAATTAGAAGCTAATAATCTAATTCTAAAGAAGATCTGTGTCAAAGAATAAATCATAGAAATAACTAATATTGTCATTAAAGACAATGACAACAATAAGACAACAGACCAAAAACAACAGGATGCAGCCAAAACAGTACTTAGGGAAAATTTTATGTCTCTGAATATGTACATCAATAAAGTAGAAAAAGAACAGATCAATTAATTGGGTATGCAACCAAAAATAAAAAAAAAAGTTAAATATTTCCAACACTGAATTCCTTAAAATCAAAGGATTGATTTATAAAATTAAAAGCAAACAAATCATTGTACTAATAAATAAAATTAAAAGCTATTTTTGTGAAAAACCTCAAAATAAGGCATTGACTAAGTTGATTTAAAAAAATAAGGAGAAAACCAAATTATCAGTACTAAAAATGAAAAGAGTAAATGCATAACTAATGAAGATGAAATTAAAGCAATCATTAGCTATTTGCCCCCAACTACATGCCAATAAATCTAACAATCTAAATGAAATAGATGAATATCCCCCCCAAAAAATGATGATTAACAGAAGAAAACATAGAATATTGAAATAGCCATATCTTAGAAAAAGAAATTGAACAAATCATAAATCAGTTCCCTGAGTGGGAAACAAACAGGGCTAGATGGATTTATAAGTGAATTCTACCAAATATTTAAATAATAATAATGTTAATACTATAAAAAATGCTTGAAAAATAGGTCAAGAAAGAGTCCTACCAAAATCATTTTATGAAATAAATATGGTTTTGACACCTAAATCAAAGGGAGCAAAAAGAGAGAAAAAAACTATAGACCAATTTCCCTAATAAATATTATACAAAAAAATTTAAATTAAATACTAGCAAGGAAATTGCAACAGTATATCACAGAGATTATACACTATGACCAGACTGAATTCCTACCAAGAATTCAGAGTTGAACACACACACACACACACACACACACTTGTGTGTATCTATGTGTATATGTGTATATAACTTATAAGCATAACTTACTGTATCAAAAACAAAAACAAAAAATAATATGATCATTTTGAGATGCAGAAAAAGCATTTTATATAATACAACACCCATTCTTACTAAAAACACTTGAAAATATAGCAATAAATGTAATCATTTCTTAAAATAATAAGTAAGCTATATTGGAAATATAGCAATTCTAGGAAGAGAGCGTATTGAGATGAAAGGAGATAACAAAAAAAGAACTTTCTAAGAAACAAA